TCTCAACAGTAGATGAAGAGCTGAGAGTAACTCTCTTTCACAAAACAGAAACGCTACCTCTCTCAACAACTTAGGCCTCCTGCTCTCACTGACAGGAAACCACTGGAAGGTGCAAAGACTCAGGGGCCAGATGGAAAATCCATAACTTCCCATTGGGCTCCTTTCACTTAAACAAGACTCTGTATTACCCAGACTTGAACTCCTCTTGGAATCAGGCACCCTACATTCATATGAAAATTCTCATGTAATCTGTCCTGTTCCCACTTTTGCCAGTTGAATGCTCAGCAGCCTTCAATATCATTTCCTCACTCTCACCTCCTTACCACCTCTTCCCTGCCATCCTTTCTCCTAAGTTTGTTCTGCTCAGGGACTTTGCCCTCACCTCTTCCTATAAAGCTCCTTTCTCAAACACCCAGTTCCAATGCCACCTTAGAGAGGTCTTCTCCACCACCCTTATCCTATGCTGTCACCTCCCATGGTCAGTCAATTTCTTTCCACTATTTCATAATCTCTAGAGTTTGTATCACTTTTTGGAATTAAACTATGTCTTTATGCTAACTTGTCCATGGTTTATCTTATGGACCACAGCGTTAGCTTTAGAGCTGGAGCATAACGTTGTCCACCGTTGACTCCCCCAGTACCCAGCATTGTGTCTGGCACATGGTGGGCATTCATGTATTGGGTGAAAATGAGCAGCTGTGACCATATTAAGACTGTATGAAGCACCTGATTATCTCCATAGGCTTCTATTAAATCTTAACCTTTCTCAATTCTATTTTAATGGTCCTACTGCAGATGTCCTCTACTACAAACTGTTTCTGATCCACTTCTGATTGCCCAAGCTCAGTGCCCAGGAGCTAGGGAAAGCTGGGCAGATAACCAGCCCTTCATGTTTGCACGATTGCTTCCTGGCTGCCTTCGTAAAACTGATAAATAGAAAAGAGGCTGTTCTTTCTGCAGTGGGCCTGGCCATGGGGCCAAATACCACAGAGGTAGGGGGCTATTTGCTCCTACAGCCTGACAAGTGGCCATTTGCTATTAAGCTCTGGCCACCTGCCAGCTCCCCTCTCAATCTCAACTCACAAGTAGAAGGATGAAGAGAGATCAGGACTGAGGTAGGCAGGGCTGTGAAAAGTCAGTGGGAAATATCAAGAACAGGAGAGGAAATGCTGGTAGGCGGTATTAGTGGGGGAAGATCCACCTTGCAGTACCCACATTGCTCCCTTGAGAAGTCAGAGGCACACAAAGCCCAGACCTCTGTTTCATAAAAGACAAAAATGAAGACTAAAAGCAGACAGAGGGTGGCCAGGCCATGGGATAGATGTGAGCAGCAGAGAGGGTAAGGTGACTTCTGTAGCCTGGTGTCTGAGGGGCTGCTAGAAAGGATCCTGCTGATAGGCCAGTGTAGAGATGGCTGCCTGGGACCCACAGGAGATTGACCAAACTCAGTGCCCAGGAGCTAGGGAAAGTTGGGCAGATAACCAGCCCTTCATGTTTACACAACTGCTTCCTGGCAGCCTGGGACTTCTGAAGCCTGAAACTTTCAGTTTCACACCTGAATTCTTATTAAAGTGCTTACTATGTGCCTGCATTCCAAGGAGGCTAAAAATGAGAACTCTTCCCCACAGTGACCTCCTACTGCCTCTGCTCCCCAAACCCAACTGGAACAAGCCTTTCCTTTCTTCCCTCAACCCTGAGAAGCTGCCTCTAGATCTTCCTGGAGCCAGGCTGGGGGGCACATCCTCGTGGCTTTGCACACAGGTACTGCCTCACAGTGGGTCTGGGCTGAGACCTCTGAGGGAGGAAGTGCAGCCTTCAATGAGGTGATTTTCCACAAGAATGCTAAGATATAAACTGGAGAGTATATAATAAGCAACATCTCCTCACTGGCTGTGGTTGGGCTTGGTGTTCTTTTCAGAGTAAGAGCTATTTCCTTTGTAAACTGACCTCTCTTCCTTCTCCCCAGAGCTCCTTCCACAGACTTCCTAAGATATCAGGCCTCTCCTGGGACCTAAGAACTTGAGTGCCCAGCCACGCAATCTGTGTCCTTATGGTGTCAGGCCTTGACAACTGGATGCCTAGCACAGCCCGCCAGACCCCAGCCAATTAGGGCTATGAACAGTGCAGAGGCAAAAACCTGACTAAAGAAATGTCTAATAGTCCAGTCCATCCACTCTGAATCCCTCCACACATTGGTAAGAGCAAATCATGGGGGGGTCAGTCTAAGGCAAAGACCACATTCTTGAGGAATATGTGCCTAACTCATATTTCTATCTGTTAGAGTGCAGGACATCAGCATCTGAGAGCTGAGAAACTCTTACTACCTCAGGCAGCCTTAGTAAAGGGTCACATCATTCCTGGAAAGACACGCAGCAGGCAGAACAGCCCTGCTGCCTATTCCTCAGTAGCCAAAGGGCCAGCCCCACCTACCTGCTTGTCCTGCAGGTCAGAGGAGAGCTCATAGCTCTCAGAGAGGGAGCGTGAGCGCTTGATGGCCTCCTCCTCGGCCTGCTTGCGCAAGATGGAGGTCGAGTGCTGCAGCTTGGGCCTCCGTGTACGCTGTTGCTGCCCCGCTGGCCCCGAGTATAGCCCATAGGCACCCCCTGATGTGTGCTCGTAGTGGTCCGGGCTCAGGCAGGAGCTCGGCACTAAGGATCCTTGGCGGTAGGCCGAGGGGCTGTCCAGTGAAGTGCAGGTCTCGCTGCTGGGGGCCTCACCCTCCACACTGCAGAAAAGAGAGGAGACGCCTCCGGTGAACCAGAAACCAGAACTAGGGCTTGAAGGGACACCAGGAGATGGGAGGCGGGTATGGCCAAGTGGCAGCCCATCATATTCCAGGGAGAGTCCGCAACACCGTATCTCCCTACTTCTCCCTTACCCTCCTATAGTTGATCCTCCCACGCAGCCAGAGGGACTCTACCAAGGCACTCTGCTCCAATCTTTCCTTAGGCTCACCTCCTCCAACATCTGTAAAACTCACCCCTGTAAAACTCACCTCTTCCAACATCTGTAAAACTCACCTCTTCCAACATCTGACATACTTTACCAACTGATTTTGCTTACTGTCCATCTCCTATACGAAAATGCCAGTTTGTGAAGACAGAGGCTTAGTCCATTGGACCACTGATAATCCTAGTGCCAACAGAAGGGCCTGCACATAGCAGGTGCTCGGTCAGTACCTACTCACTGACTGAATGGATCCTGTCACTTTCTCTCCCTCGCTCCTACCATTGCATTAAGTAAACCACTGATTTTTGAATTTTTTAAAAAACAGTAATTAACAAAAGTGACACTTTACTGCATAACTACTCGGGGGTCACACATTGTACTGGTGTTGTTATGGACTAAACTGTGTTCCCCCAAATCCATATGTTGCAGCCCTCACCTCTAGTACTTCAGAATACATCTGTATTTGGAGATAGGGTCTAAAAAGAGGTAATTAAGTTAAAACAAGGTCATTAGTGCCCTAATCCAATATGACTGAAATTCTTGAGAAGATCAGGACACAGACACACACAGAGAGATGACCCTGTGAGGACATAGTGAGAAAGTGGCTAGCTACATGCCAAGGAGAGAGGCCTCAAAGTGAGCAGCCCTGCTGACACCTTGACCTCAGACTTCCAGCCTCTGGAATTGTGAGGAATAAATGTCTGTTATTTAAGCTGCCCAGCCTGTGGTACTTGTTCCAGTACAGGGACTTGCCCAAGGTTACATGGGTAATGAGTAGGTAAGTTGGGATTTAAGCCCAAGTTAGTGGGACTCCCAAGACAGGGTGCTCCCCTCCATCACACTGCTCCTCACCCCCAGTACATATCCCTCTCACAGTTCCAAGCACCAAGTAGGCGTGGGGCGACTGGGGAATGAGGTGGAGGGGACAGAGAGGGAATGATCCCAAACTCGTGAACTTAGATGATAGACATTGGTTGCTGCTGGAGATTGCTTTTCAGCATAGGACAAGGTGAGAAGGGAGAAATTTATATGTTGTTTCTAATACAGCTTTTTGTATTTTCTCCAGTCATACCCTTCCATTTCCCTATCACTGTAGAATAGCACTCAACCTTTAAAAACCAACTAATCCCTGGAAGTGGCCTAGCAGACAGAAGGGAACAGAGGCCCTACACAGGATGCAGTCCTTCCTCAACGGTCCCATCTTCAGACCAATGGGAATGTCTTGCATTCAAGAGCCTAAGGGCCAACTGATCTACCCCTGCCCAGCTCTGCTTCCATTGCCTCCACTTATTACAAGGACTGGCAGGGACTGATTCATTGCCAAGAATGTGAGACTATTCACTGACTCTGAGGGGAGACAGACTCAAAGTAGGGGCATGGGGAAGGAGACCCTGGAGCAGAGAGGGCCAAGATAAGGCTAGCAGACCCAGGCCACAGGAAGCAGCCTGCCCTTTGATTCCAATTCTTCCCTAAGCCAGGGGGTAGGCTACAAATCCAACTCGTAGTTTAAGAATAGGACTTCCCTTCCACCAACTGGCTCTGGCCTCCGGGAACATGCAGTGGTTCTCTTTGACAAAGGACATTCCATCCAGCTCCCCAGAAGCTAAAGTGTAACAGAGGTCTTTCCTTCATAAAGAGCTCTGGGTTTGAAATTAAGAGACCAGGTGCTTTGCCTTGATACGGCTGTGAAGCAGGGTGGGTCGGACCTTATTTCAAGGTCTGCTTCCCTATCTGTAATATGGGTGGGTGGGGCTAGATGTCCTTCTTCAAGGTCAGAAGAATACCACCCTTCAAGACTCTCCTGACATCAGTCACCCAACTGTAGCTTCCTTTGGGCCTAGTGTGGATGCGCTGGGTAGGGAGAGGGATGGGAACATGTAGAACTTAAAATTCTACTATTGTTTTATGGACGAAAAAGAGGCTCTGTAATAAACCTAAGCAGAAAGTAACCTCACAGGGTGATCTGATCATAATCCTAACTGGGCAGGTCATAGTGGGTAGTCATGCCCCAGGCCTATAAAAGGTTCAACTTTGTCTGAAGCAAATCCTCTCCATTGTTTTTGTGCATCTAGGTTAACACATCTTTGAAATGCTCTTCAGACCCCTAAGAAGCATAATCACCCTCAAGGGAGCACATAATTTTGTTAACTATCCTGTACCTTGCTTCTCCCACCTTCGTGTAATCTGCCTTACATTCTCTCCTTAATTACAATGTATAAAATAAACTACAAAACTATCATTCTTCAGACCATTTGAGAACCTGCTTCCCAGCATGTCATCAGTTTGGCTTAAATAATCAGGTACACAAATTCCTTATAGGTTGGGATGTTTCTTATGTTGACATTTACTTGGCACAGTCCGCAGGAGTCTGAAGAAACCCACCCAGGACCATCCTGTGGTCCTGGATCTGGTGCTAGGTGCCAGCACAGGCCCATTGTGCTCCACTGGCTCTCTACTTCACATTAGGAAAACCTGAGTGAGTTTTCTCTTGGAATCCTGGACCTCCCTGCTTTAGGTAGCAGATCCTGACTTTATCTGAACTATTCTTGGAAAATCCTCAAGGTAGGTAAAGGGTTGAGGTAACCCAGGGAAAGGAGGTTAAAAATGGGTTGCTACTTAAAAAGAATTTTTTTTTTAATTGGATTGCTTACTGAGAGTCTGAACAAAATCTTTGCTGGTTAAATGAAGGACTAAACTCTCTTCAACTCTGAAAGAGAAAGGACACTTGCTTCCCCAACCTGAATCACAGGTATTCTTAGTGGCTAAGAATCTTTCTGGGGTTGCCTGAGGAAAAATTTCCTCTAGGGTGTGAAACAGTCCTATAGAGATATTCACCACATTTGGCTAGTCTGGAGATATGCGAGTAAAGGCTGTTTTTTTGTTTTCTGTTTTTCTAGAAGTCTGTTCAGACTCTACAGATCTCAAAGGAAAACTAAAATTAACAATGGATATTGTGCTTCCAAGGCTGACAAAACCCTATGACAGTCAGCCTCCCCATTAACACTCCAGAAGGAAGATGGCAGAGATAAGGATCCTTTTATACCTGTAAATTAATTGTTTGCACACACAATTAGAAAAAGCCAGCTATAAAATTATGCAGAATGAAACATTTAATTGGTCACTTGAAGTTTCAAGAAGAGGATTTAGATAAATGGATCAACCTATGATATAGTTTAAGTGACAACCCAATTCTTTGAGGTCTTAAAAAAAAAGCTGTCCTTATTTTAAAAGGGGGAAGGTCATTTGAAACTTGACTTGTCAAGGACAGATAAAACTTTGAAGTGTCTTTTTATCCCAACTTCCAAAACAAAATTTGGATCCAACTGCCCTTTTATAAACTAGTGAGTTTTTCTCACAGCTAGACAGTCTCTTGTCTGTCTGTATGTGTGTCTATATATGTATATTGTAAATGTGAGATAACTTTCTACTTCCAGATGGTATTGTTAAAATTAATTTAATAAATTATAATTAATTGATTTTGAAGGCAACCACTTGTAAGGACTGGGTATTCTAAAATTCTCAGAAATATAGAAACTAACCCAAATGCTTTTCGAGTTTATGTGATCTAAGATTAATCCTTAGTAAATAAAAGCTAGTTTAAGTTTGTTGGTTTAAGTAGAACAGACATGTCTTTCAAATTATTGATATTAAACATAGTATTTATATTTTACCCAGTTTTACAAAAATAAGTCCATGTTAATAATTGACTTTGACATCTATGAAATATGTTTCTAGAGGTTATAAAATGTCTTCAAAAATTTGACTTCTTAGTTTTCATTAGAAATTAAGGTTTTAAGGGTGAAAATCTCAATATATGTAACTAAAACTACTAGGAATAACTGTGGTATTCAGAAGTCCACCAGGAATACCTAAAAAGAATTTATGTTAAATTGTGTGGAAAGCTTTCTAAAATAAGTGATAGAAAAAACAAATAGTCGGGGCTATGGGAAACCCAGGATGGCTGCTTAGCTCTTCCTTGATCCATGGTAAACCCCATTTTTTGTTTTTTGCATTCTTTCATGCATCTTAGTGCATTTAGGCTGGACTTAAATTAGATGAAGGAACTTATGAGTTAACATTACTGAAAAGAGACAAAGACTTTAAAATCATTGACTGCAACCTGAAGATTATGTTTAATGGAAAGGACATCAAATAAAAAAACACTGTCCAACCTCATTGGAAGGGAACTTATGAAGCGCCTAACAGCAAATAAACATCCACCCTTTTCCCTAAAACTTGCTTTTGCCCACAACAGACATCAAAGACTCCTCTAGGATGAGAAGCAGCTGATATCAGAGGTAGAAAACTATCCGAAGACATCGACAAGGCCTGTATATCTATGGATTGATGTGAACTCGGAAACCATTTTGTTTGATTATCTTTACCCATCTGCCAATAATATAGTCGTAATAATAGTTACACTTGTTCTTTGTTTTTTTCTATATAGCCCAACTGTTTATGATTACTGAAGATGTGTAAGTTAACCATTAATACTCTTGTAAATATTACACTAGAAGCAAAATAAAGAAAAGTAAGACACATGGCAACACTTGGATCATGGTATTTCACAGGATTTGTAATTAAAACTACATAGTGTTTTGGGTAATGAAGGCCCAGAAGGCCTGACTGCTTCCCATTTACCTGCTCTTCCCTTTTGGGAAAATTTGGACTCAACTCACATCCCATTATTGTGGTATTGTCTCAACCCCAATGGTCAACAAGATGACGTCGATACTGAGACTTCCTAGGAAGTCCTTCCTAGCACTATGTGACCAC